CCCCGGGGGCCGCCACCCAGGCGCCCCAGAGGCCGGGCCCCCGTTGCCTTGGCAACGGGCAGACGCCCCGGCGTGAGGGGCGGGGACGGCGCAGGACGCCGGGGTCGCGACCCCAGCGCCAACTTTAAAATGAAGCCCGCGGCCCCAAGGAAGGGGGGGGAGAGCCGGACTGCGAGCGGAGCCGAGCGGAGCGGAGCGCAGCCCAGCACAGCCCCCCCGGCTAGAGGAGCGACGCGGCAGCAGCCACCCACCGTCCGGCTGGCGGATACACCGGACCGCAGCGAGTTGGTGAGCTCGGGAGCAGAAGGGGAAGGAAGCAGCCCAGGGCAGAGTCAGGGATGACTGGTGGGCTGACGAGTTAAGGGGTCGTACCCTGTCAGCCGGGTTCGGGTCGCTTGGACCAGAACCCTTAGGGCCCTGGGCTGGGGCCCGTGAGAGTGGGCGGGCCCGGGCCCCCCTTCTCCTCCTGCCTTGTTGTGGGGGGGAAACCGAAGACGAGAACGCGAATAAGACTGACCAAGGGAGCTCGAGACTCAAGGACTATTGCGAGCCCTCAGGGCAAACGCCGCGGGGCAGCATGGGGGCGTCACAATAAGTGATGTAAGCTTACTCATATTACCCTGCTGATATGTTTCAGCCATGACTTGGAGGTATTAATACACCAAAAGACAAAATGTCTCTATGCACAAGTGAATCCCTCCCCTGGTTATGGAGAATGCCAGCCAGAGCACCACTCAATTTTGATGGCATTTTTATTATACTAGCACCTAAGACTGAGATATGTAAAGAGTTCCTGACACGTTACATAAACATACCATATTCTCTAACTGGGGAAGAAAAATCTTGTTACTTCGTCTCTTTGAAAGAGAAAGATAAGGAAAAACACTCGTTTATATGGTGAACAGACTATTTTAAGGGTATTTTTGTCAGATGTGCAAATTTGCAATGTAGAATAGAATAAAGTTCTGGAACCAACTATCGGCACAAAAGCTAGATAAAAGATTTGCTTCAGGGCTATTGCATTCTTACTGGGTGTGATATCCCTGGATATTTACTTTGCCCCCCTTTTTAACAGAAATTAATACTTCGTGTGATAAACAGGAATAGACTCTGCATGCTGATCCTGTGATCACTATACTGGTCACTGTTACTTGCTGAGCTCCCTGGCAGTCAGTGGCAGTTGAAGATGTGGATTAGTGACAAGACTGGACTCAAGTTTCATATTTGTTTGAATACGTGCAGTTACATTTCCACTATGAGCCTTTAACAGTGGGCTTGTGGCAGAGCTGTTAAGAGACTAGAGCTGTGTGGACCCTTATGTAGCGCAACTGTGTTTTTGTAGCATGTCAATGTTAGTCACCTTTACCAGTAATAAGGTTTTTTTTTGTTATCACAGCTATATTTGTAAGTCTACCTGCTACATAACTGTATCAGGCTATGCTAGGAAAATCCAGATGGCTATTCCCCTGTTGCTTAGGAAGGCAAATGTCCAGACAACAAAGCCCACAGAATACACCCAACAGCAAAAAGTAATGCATGCCAGGATGTCATACTCCATAAAAGAACTAGGAAGATGACACCAGCTAAACTAGTCACACAGGCAGTTTGGGCCACTCATTCATTTTTCAAAAAAGCATGCTGAAATAGCTGAAAGAAGGGAAAAAAAACCCAATCCACTCCTCTACTGGTAGCAAATTACCATTATCTGCTACAATTACTTAACTGAGCATCAGCCATGCCCTCTGTAGAGACTAACCATATCCAGAGCCAATCCCATGAAAGTTTACACATTCAGTTTATTGTGGTGTGGATATGGCTTGAGGTAAACAGAGATTTAAGACCACTCAATACCACTTGGACTAGTGTGGACTCATCCACATTTTCATGTTTTCAATCATAAAAGCTATAAAACAAGTTTACTCTACATAACAAATGAACAGTAGTTTAAGCTGTACACAAAATAGTCCCCTACTCACTCTGCGTATTTGTAGTGCCAATCTCCTGTGATTAAATCCTGTTCAAAGAGTTTGCAGGTCCATCCTTCACCCTTCAGTTTCCTCTCTTTGGCAGCCTTTCTCTGAGCATCCTCCAGAATACATTTCTCATTAGTTGCTTCTGTCTGATCTTTGTTGTTTATAGCTCGGGTCACTTGTTGCCAAAGCCTAGAAAATTAAATGTAATAAGGGTGGAAGAATCAAAATCAGAATGACAGAAATAACTACAAATATTGCTTTGACAGAAGTAAAATGACATTGATGAGCAATTATAAAGTTACTATTTACTGCAGTGTTTGTCAGATTTATTTTGTTCAAGTTTTCCTTCAATGGAACTTCTGTAAATCTTGCATTTAAAGGTTATTTCTCTCCATTTTACAGACTGGGATTGTTAAGCACAATGAAGGTAAGTGACTTGCTCAGGTTCATAAAAATAAGTTCTCAGGAAAAAATCAGAATGGAAATCTAGATCACTTTGACCAAAAGCTATACTTTAACAACAGACCACGCTCCCTTCCATATTTTATTTGTCCATCAGCATGTATGAATGTGTTATTCCTTTTAGGCCCCTGGCTGGGAATGCTCAAAAGTCATCATTCAAAAACAACTAACAGAACAGGAGCTAATATTTCATCAACTTACTTCTCTGACTCAAAGTCATCTTGTTCATCAAATTTCACTGTGTATCTTGTTAATCTGCGCTGTTTGATCTCTGAAGTTGGATTCCAGAAGGTCTCTGAAACATCTGTCTTTTTGTCACTAATAATAATTTCACTGTCCTGTAAAGTTTAAACATTTTAATGACTTTAGTTACTAATGTTGTAGTAGCCTTAAACAAAGCCAGTGAGAAAAAGCTTGAGAAACAGAATTCCTCAACACAGAACTTTTTGCAGCTGAAGAATTTGTTATTCCTTTTAGACACCTGGCTGGGAATGCTCAAAAGCCATCGTTCAAAAAGATATTTCCTTGCCTCTGCTACAACGAGTAACTTAAATTATTAAGTGTGTGAGACAGTTTCCGTCAGGTTTTTATGTGCTACATAGCACAATGCTGTAGTATATTTCTCTGCCACAATTATTTTCTTGATTGGAAAATAAATTTATGGAAACAATATTCTTAAATTACATAAAAGCTCATGCCTACAGAAAGCTACATTTGGGGATAAACTGATCTGATTTAGCAGGACTATTTAAAATTTTAATAAAACTGATTTAATAGATTTTGTAGTAGTAGAACTTTCATATTTTGATTTATAAATATTAGTTGTCAAAGTAGTGGGAGATGATGAAGCTAGAATACTACTGGTGGAGATCAGGTTCTGAATCTCACCAGCAGAAGCATAAAGAGTTCTTGAAATCATAGGCAGAAGCTGTGATATGATGGAAGAGACTATAATGTCCAGGTGATCTCAAGCAGAATTGTCCTGATTAGTACTATTGGATGAATCTAGATTGCCTCAGCACAAATACAAACAGGAAAATGTTTACAGCTATGACAGTTTTTACTTTAAAATCTAGGTATTGGAAAACTGTTCAGATTCAGACCAGATTATCTAACTTTTTCAAAACACATCTGTGTCAGGATAACAAAATCTCACCATACATTTTGGCCTATATTACTTTGAGCTTCTGGGGGGAACTCTGATTATGACTCAAGCAGGAAACTGAAGTACAAAGGATATTAATTAAAATGAATATATATATTTCTTCTATTCTCTAGAGTTTTGACCTAAAGTTACCTATTTATTCATAGACCTGCTCTCAGAAAGTTGGGCAGAGTTGGGTTCTGCTTAGTGTTAATTGTTTCCGATGAGTTTAGGAATATTTTACACTATTGTGGAAGGTTGGACTATTGTGTGTGTGTGTGTGTGTGTGTGTGTGTGTGTGTGTTAAATTTTGTATTTTAGAGAAGCTAGAACATTACTTAATTTTTCTTTATAATAAATCTAAGCATATGCTACTGTCATAGAGTGTTTTATTTATACATTTTGATGGGTAATATTGAAAAACATTTTGCAGTACACAGGAATCCCATATGCAATCTCCTTCTTTCTAGCTGCCCAGGCCAACCAATCTTTTGTAACGAGTTATTTAAAAAAAAGTGTGTGGTGTCAAAAGAGAGCTCTTAAAATACTAGAGTTTTTTAGAACTCTTAAAAAAGTTATACTATAGGTATTAAATGAAGATTTTGCTTTTACCCTTCATGATCTACATAGGAGATTTGAAAAAGTTTCATGTTAGGTCTTACAACTACACAAGAAATATTGCACTAGAACTAAATATTTTAAAAATCAAATTTCATTTCACAATATTTATGGTCGCTTTACTTTTTTGTATTTTTCTTTGTGAGACTACAAATTTTGTCTATCTGGTATAATATGTTGGCATAATATTATTGCGTTCCCAACACAATAGAGGATTATTTTAAATACCCATCTACACCTTTCAGAAAACATTTAGGTTTAAAATAATGAAAAACATTTCTTCATATTAACTTTGGACACCTATAATCTTGTAATACACACACTTGAAACAAGGAGTCCTGTGGCACCTTATAGACTAACAGATGTAGTGGAGCATAAGCTTTCGTGGGGACAGACCCACTGAATCTGACAAAGTGGGTCTTTGCCCACGAAAGCTTATGCTCCAATACATCTGTTAGTCTATAAAAGTAGTCCCCAACCTTTTGGGGCTGCTGGGTGCCATGCATGCGCCAGGCGCCCAGGGCACAAGAATGGCTTGGGCCGGACCTGGTCACTAGTCGGGCGCACATAAATGCCCTTAGTCATCTCTTTTCTGAGCTGAGAAGTCCCAGTCTTATTAATCTCTCCTTATATGGCAACCATTCCTTGTCTGAAGCTTTTACAAGTCTAATACAGGTTGAAACTCTCTAATCTGGCATGCTCTGGTCTGGCAACATTTGTGGTCCAGCATGATTTTAGTTAGCCAGCAAATTCTCTGGTTTAGCACCAGTTAGGACCCAAAGGTGCCAGACTAGAGAGGTTCAACTGCTGTATCTTTTTTGAGATAGAGGAGTCCACATCTGTACACAGTACTCAAGACGTGAGGGTACCATGGATTTAGGCAAAGGCAATTTTTTTATTTTATTTTCTATTCCTTTCTCAATAATTCCCAATATTCTGTTTGCTTTTTTTGTCGTCTGCTCCACACTGAATGGATATTTGCAGAGAACTATCCATAAAGACTCCAAGATCTATATGTGGTAACAGCTAATTTAGACATTATCATTTGATATTTACAGTGGGGTTATGTTTTCCAAAGCACATTACTTTACATTTATCAACACTGGGGAAAAAAAAGTAGCAGCAGAAGTTCAGGTCTTCTGAATGGGAAGTTTGTTCTTTAAAAATTTCTGCATATTTCTCTGTAGCTATTGTAAGGCTGAGATCGAATACCATTGAGGTACTTCAAGTCTGCAGTACCACCTACCTGCTAAACATTCCAGCTTTCATCTCCAGTTCTTATGCTGCACATAACACACTGACAGCAAATGAATCCTGCTACTTGTGAAAGAGTATGCTTACAGAGTTTCAGTATTGCTACAAGCCCATAAATCAGGGCTGTACAAGATGCAGCCCACAGGCCAGAACTTGCCAGTCTAAGACTTTGATCCTTCCGGGATGGAACCGGCCTGTGACCATGTACCAAAATTCATTAAGTGGCCCCCCTGCAAAAATTATTGCCCAATCCTGTCATAGATCAAACAAAGTAGCTGTATGAGGTGCATTGAAAACTACTGTATCTTTTGTTCATCTTCTTGCAGTTCAAATATTTGTAATCAAAAATACAAAATGAGAACTATACTCTGTATTATGTATCGTAATTGAAATCAATGTATTTGAAAATTTAGAAAAGCATCCACAATATTTATAAAAATTTAAATAGGTATTCCATTATTGTTTAACAGTGTGATTAAAACTGTAATTAACTGCAACTTTTTTTAAACCTTGCCAGTAAGTATGATATTTTTAATAATGTAAAAGTCAATATATTTTTATTTTTGAAAGATGACTACTTACCAGAGTGTCTATTAGCTATCTGTGTCTGGAGAGCCCTGATACAACACAACAGGAGCTCCCGCCTCTGTTTCTTCATTCATAGTAGTCCTGAGTAATTTCATGCCAGGCTCTTACCTCAATTCGCCCTCCCCACCATTTTAGTTCCCTTAGGTTGTATTACATCAGTGGTCCCCAACACAGTGCCCGCGGGTGCCATGGCACCCGCCGGTCCATTTCTGTGTACCCGCCGACTGATCAGGGCCGGCCCCGCCCCCGGACGTGCGGCACAGGGGTCGCGCCAGCCCCGGGCGTGCAGCACATGGGCAGCCCCACCCCCGGGAGCGCAGTGCATGGGCTGTGCCGGCCCCAGGAGCGCAGTGTATGGGCTTCCCCACCTCTGGGCACACGGCACAGGAGCAGCACTGGCCCCAGGTGCGCGGCGCATGGGCGCTGCCGGCTCCTGGGAGCACGGCCCAGGAGCAGCGCCGGCCCTGGGCACGCAGTGCATGGGCTGTTCCGGCCCCAGGCGCATGACGTATGGACGGCCCTATCCCTGGGCACACAGCACAGGAGCGGCACCAGCCCCGGGCGCATGGCGTACGGGCAGCTCCACCCCTGGGCGTGCAGCACAGGAGTGGTGCTGGCCCCGGGAGTGCGGCGCATGGACAGTGCAGGCACCAGGCATGCGGCGTGTGTGCGGCTCCGCCCCCGGATGCCCAGTGCGTGAAAGGCCCCGCCCCCGGGCCCCAAAAGGTTGGGGACCACTGTATTAAAGACATAATATATATATAATGTATGTGTGTGCTACATATGACAAATTTCTTTATTTTTTTCAAAATACTTTGTCTCACAAATGCACTGCATCTCTTTTGTCCTACTTTGTTTCTTTCAGAAATAAAAACAAGAGGTTCATTTAAAAATCAGCATTATTTAGATTCCAGAGTCATTCCACACAAGATATCTATTATAAAGATGGAGCTCCTGATAAGTGTCAATGTTTAAAGCCAAAATGAAGTAGCTATAAATCTAGGTGAATTTACAACAAATTTGAAAAGAGTGCTATTTACATACCATTACTAGCAAAACAGACAGTTTATTTAACAGACACATTCACTACTCACCCAGTGGCCTTCCAAAGTAGCCAGAACTTCTTTGCCCAGTTTAATTTTTCCTGATATTTGATTAACACTGTCATTGTTGCCCAAAAATGGCTGCAAAACAAAAAGAAAAATGGTAATTGTTTTAGTGAGAGATAATATTAGTGTGAAGTCAAACACTGGGACTAAACCATGTAGCTATGACTCTCTGGTGAGATAGCCAAAATCACTTTAAAAGAGCCTCTAGCATGGCTATATAATCCCAGGGTTAAGGTTGAGCCCATAACACCTTGTTCAGTCATTCTGCCATTTCTCAAGAGTTATGCTGAGAAAGTTTTATTAACATCAGGATAATTGGTCAAAACAGTGGCATCATCCCTGGAGGATCCTGGAATTTTACCTCGACAGAGAAAGAACTTTGAGATATTTAAACCAAAGTAACACCTTTTGGAGGAGTCTTACAGCACTGTTTCAGTGTAATAGTGCACTGCTCAGGTCTGAGCCAAAGTCCTTGGGTCCGGGCTTAAGTTCTGACCTTTGGACCCAGAAGAGTATTCTATCCAATGATCAATGTAAATATTGATGATGCTGTTAGCCGTTTGGAATGGAAATCCATCAACCATATGAAGAAACTCGCACAGATACAGACAGACATCATCTTTCTATCCAAGTGCAAGAAAATGGACATCGTACCCAAAGGACTGAAAGTGAACAATCCACTAAGATCAACATACTTCACTGACTACAGTGAAAGACTCTGCCTCACACTATCCAAGAAATTAAGAAACCACCTGATAAGTATTTTATACAAGAAACAGAAAACCATCAAGAATGACATTTCTAACTTAGATCGTCTCATCTCAAGACAAACATCCACACCGACTGACACCTTGCAAGACTTTTGTTCCACCAGACAAGAAATCTACTATACACACTTCTATTCCCTACAACAAAGAAAAGACAATAAATTTTCTAACCTGCTCCATACCACTGGCTACAACAGCAACTGCCTCAACCCACCGGATAATATTGTTAACCTCTCCAGCTACAAACTCAATCCAGCAGAAGAGTCTGTCTTGTCCCGGGGTCTCTCTTTCTGCCCCACGTCCCCCACAAACTGGATACAATTTTGTGGTGACCTTGAGGCTTTTTTTCGCCGCCTCCGTCTCCGAGAATATTTCCAAACCACCACTGAACATCAATCTGACCTACCAGATCCCCCCTACCAACACCAAAGGAAAAATAATTCTATATGGACTCCCCCTGACGGTCGGAATTACAATCTGGATTTCTATATACACAGCTTCCGCAACAACGCACAGACTGACATTATTCGCAAACGACAACAAGCGACACACAATCTTAGCCGCGCTGAACACCATGCCATCCAGAGTCTCAAAAACAACCTGGACATTGTAATCAAACCAGCTGACAAAGGGGGTGCTGTGGTCATTATGAATAAGGCCGACTATAACCAGGAGGCAACCAGACAACTCTCGAACACCACATTTTACAAACCTCTCCCCTCTGATCCCACCTTGGACTACCAAAAGAAACTACACTGTCTCCTTAAAAGCCTCCCCACAGCTACTCGGGAACAAATCCTCACAGAATCACCTTCTGACCCCCGACCAGGATTGTTCTATCTACTTCCCAAGATCCATAAACCTGGGCACCCCGGACGTCCCATCATCTCTGGTATTGGCACGCTCACTACTGGTCTATCCAGCTATGTAGACACTCTTCTCAAACCCTTCGTAACCAATACCCCCAGCTATCTCCGAGACACTACTGACTTCCTAAGGAAACTACAAAACATCGATAACCTCCCCAATAATACCATCCTTGCCACCATGGATGTAGAAGCTCTATATACCAACATCCCACATGAAGACGGATTACAAGCAATTAGAAACACTATCCCAGAGGACACTACTGCCAACCTGATAGCAGACCTATGTAACTTTGTTCTCACCCACAATTATTTCCGGTTTGAGAACAACTTATACCTCCAGATCAGCGGCACAGCCATGGGTACACGCATGGCCCCACAGTATGCTAACATCTTTATGGCTGACCTAGAACAACGTTTCCTCAACTCCCGTCCCCTTTCACCCCTCCTCTACCTACGGTACATCGATGACATCTTTATGATCTGGACACATGGCCAAGAAACACTGGAGATATTCCACAGAGATTTCAACAACCTACACCCCACCATCAACCTCAGCCTGGACCATTCTACACGAGAGATCCACTTCCTGGACACCACCGTACAAATCAACAATGGAAAATTAGACACCACTCTCTACAGAAAACCCACTGACTCATACAGTTACCTACATGCATCCAGCTCCCATCCAGAACACACCACACGATCCATCGTCTATAGCCAAGCCCTTCGATACAACCGCATCTGCTCTAACCCCACTGACAGAGACCAGAAGCTTCAGGATCTCTACCAAGCATTTATAAATCTCAACTACCCACCCAGAGAAACAAAAAAGCAAATTGAAAGAGCCAGACGAATACCTAGAAACCATCTACTTCAAGACAGACCCAAGAAAACCAACAATAGAACACCACTTGTCATCACCTACAACCCCCAACTTAAACCTGTCCAACACATTATCAATAAACTACAGCCTATATTGGAACAGGATACCATACTCAAAGAGGCTCTGGGAGACAGACCCATAGTCTCCTATAGACAACCACCTAACCTCAAGATGATTCTTACCAACCACCACAGGACATACCACACTAATACCAACCCTGGTACCTTCCCTTGCAACAAACCCCGTTGCCAGCTTTGTCCACATATTCATTCTGCTGATACCATTATTGGACCTAACCAAGTGAGTTATAAGATCAAGAACACATATTCCTGCGCATCCAGAAATATAATCTACGCTATCATGTGCCGAAAGTGTCCGTCTGCTATGTACATTGGACAAACATCTCAGACACTTCGCCAAAGGATTAATGCCCACAAAACAGATATCAGACAAGATCACAAAGAGAAAACAGTTTCTTGCCACTTTAACCAGAAAGGACACTCTCTAAATGACTTAGCCACCTGCATTCTGCTACAAAGACCTTTTACATCTGCACTTGAAAGGGAATCCTCTGAACTGTCATTCATGTTAAAATTCGACACTTACCACCAGGGACTTAACAAGTCTTTGAACTTTCTCACCCATTATCAAGACAGTTTCCCCAATTATCACCTGTAATACCATTAACTCACAAACATCCCACTCTCCCTACCTCTAATATCATCAATTCACAGACACTTACCTTCCTTCCTCCCCCTTCCCACCCCCCCGCCTCCTCCTTCTGTTCTGCAATGTGATTTGTCCTTTTCATATTTGTTCTTTTTTTTAATTGTATCCTTTGGTATATATGGTTGTGACTACTTTCTTCCACTATTTGATCTGAGGAAGTGGGTCTGGCCCACGAAAGCTCATCATCTAATAAACCATCTTGTTAGTCTTTAAAGTGCTACATTGTCCTGCATTTTGCTTCAACTACCCCAGACTAACACGGCTACATTTCTATCACTTTAATACTGTAGTCACTTGTGCTGAGATTAGCTTCATTAACATTGTTTGATATACAGCAATTAGCATAAAGAAACTATATATTTTCCAGAAAAGTGTTAAATCAATACTTGTACTGAAAATCTGAATATGACATGGTAAAAGATACATCCATTTTTCCATATCTTAAATTTCCCTGTGTCCACATACAGAGCCCACTTACCTTTAGTCTGAATTCAATTGTTGCACTGTATCCAGTTTTCTCACATGCAATGTTGACAATTCCCCCAAGCTCTAAAGTCATTGTGCCATAAAGAATTCCTGCAGGAAAACAGCACATGTTTTACATAACATGCAAACTGAGTTCCTCTCCAATGTCCAGTTGCTTTCTATTGATAATTGACATTTAAAATTGAGCAAAACAAACAAGCCTTAAATTCTCGTCAAAAACCTTAGAGTAAATATTTATCAGTGCCATGGGAATAGCTAAGGGAGCTATTTTATCTTCTCTTGGGAGGGGAGAGGGGGGAATCTCCCCTAATCATGAATATACACAGCCCTTTATGTTATGCGGTGGATGCTGGCACATTGAATATTGTATTTAAATATTTCACAGAAAACACACAAAAATTTCTTCCCTTTCTAGGATTAAACGAGTTTTAAAAAAATCTGGAAAGAAGTGAGAAGAGCATAGATAAGCTTTCCAAAATCCAGCCTACTAGAGGTAATTCTATTTACATTATTCTGCTGCAATTTATCATGTTATACAGAAGTGACAGCATTTACAGGACACTTGGCTACTCTGCTACATAATATATGGCTGGATATATTGGAACAAACAGCAAATTATGTTACAATTAGACCAATTTGAATGTATTATGTATTGTTTCTCATCACCACAGCACCCAGTACCTGCCCAAATAGCTTCCTCAGAAGCACTCATTTACTTCCCATAGAGTGAAATGACAAAAGCCAAATAGGTACAAGCCCACTGTACTCAAATCATACATACACCCTTGGATATTAGGATTTTTGATATTCACTGATGGAACACAAACACTTCTAAATTCATTGATTGAAAGTTAGCCATGGCAAATGGTTCATCCTCAACTGTTTTAAGGAAGTCTCAAACGGATCTTTTACTTCTAGGTAGGCAGCTAATCCACCGGTTCAATATTTAAGCTGAACAGCAGCAATTCTGCTGCACTGCATGGCAGTGATCACAAGATCAAGGGCTGGTTTCATCGTGAAAGAACAATGTGAAATCAGGTTGAATTAAGATGGTGTGTACAAACATGAAGGTAAATATGTTGGCAAGTATTTGAACAAAATGCATAAACATTTCAGCCACAGCAAGAAGTATAATATTGTATCCACACTGATGAGACGAAGTCAAGAAAGAAAAAAACTAGAACTGGAAATAAATTAAAAATATAAAAAGCAAAATAGTAATTAGGAATGACTTTTGACAATGGATTAAATTCTCCAGAGGGAAGCAATGGTGTAACTTGATTGTTTTTTTTCCCCTTTGTTTCTTTTTAAAGGAGCAGAAATGGCCCAAGCCATTGACTTCATTAATTACTTTTAGTGCAATTCCAAGTGACTTTATATATTTTTGTAATTAATGTGACATGATTTTCTTCAAAGTTTACCAAAACAAAAATACAGCACTCAGTAGGAATTCATCCACACAACTGTACTTGTAGTATTAACAGATGTGGAAGCATAGATTTAGAGAACTGTCAATGGTACGCATGAGAGACAAGGTGGGGGTGGTAATAACTTTTATTGAAGCAACTTTTAAGCTAGAGAGAGCTCTTCTGTAGTTCTGGAAGAACCTGCATACAATAATGCCAAGTATGTTCAGAGACCTTGACTTTACAGTAGTGTTACCCAGGCCGGTGTTTTTAAAATGGAGTTTATGATTTAAAATGGAGTCTGCTGATCCCTTTTCACCTCAGCCGTGTCCCTTCCCTCCAAAACCACCTTGAAGAAGGCTTTGCACTCCACTCTCTGGCCTCTGAACATGGCTCCAAACCTGTGCACCATATTCTGGCTGCGCACCAATCCAATGCGTGCGCAGCCAGAATATGCACCCAGCATCCTTTTCCTTATGCACACCGCCCTATTCTGTTGTACCCCACTCACTAATCCAGTTTCCCGCTTTACTGTCTTTATAAACCCTCCCCTAAGAATGGTTTGGGTTGGCTCTCCTCTACCCGTCCATTGGTCTTCGTCGATCCACTTATAGCTGTGTTGTTCGTCTTCATCTGTCAACCCTGAGGAGTGCCATCCACACGTGGCCTGGCCAAGGCTGCTCAGGTCCAGCACTAGTTGTGCCATCCTGAGGGTGAGAGAAGTCTCCTCTCTGTAAGGATTTTTGGGGGCTGGTGATCCTGGACTCTGGGACTAGACCACCATTTTACACCTACGGACCTCACTTAACCTAAGGATTGGTGATAAGGAATCCGGAGGGTGTCCAGATAAGGAATCTGGAGAGGCAAGGATATACTTCGAAAACCTACTCAGGATCCGGAAATAATTGGGACCCCAAGGGAGCTCCCTGCAGTCCTTCCTCAAGGCTTCCAATTAGCCATGAGGTAGGAAAGATCCCGTATACAAAAGGGGTTATACTTAAAACACAGAAGGCGGTAATGGACGCCTGCGACCTTCTATCTCCTTTTCTTCCAGGATAGGGTGGGACATTTACTGTTTTCTTGTTGATGGATACGTGTTCACAATTTTTTAAAATACATGGTTTGGCCTTAAATTCCATCTCAGACCCGATTTGTGACTAGCTGTTCCCCAGTGATAGATACAGGTACCAGGTCGAATCTGGCTTCTGTGGGGGAGATGCATTAGGCTTTAATTAAATTGCCCACAGCAATTGTTTACCTCAGCCTTCTGGGTAACAGTAGGTTCTCTCTAACTCAATCCTATCTACAAATTAGAAACATCTAGGATTTTTAAAAAAAGATTGCTACATTCTGAACGAGGAAAAAAAAAAAAATCTACCTTTACAGTGTGCATATGGCATGGTCATTATATAATCTTCTCCCCTATTCAGGAACATTAACCGACCTTCTCCATCCAATATGGCAGATAATGAATTCCCTAAAAGACAAGGAAGCCAATTTACACCAAAGCTTTGAAAAATGCAATGGACAATAAACAGTATTTTCCTGTAAATCAGCAAGAGATTAGAGAGAATGAGTCAACCTTTGTTGCATTTTGTCCTTACATTGAAGCCCATATGATGAAGAACATCCCCCACTTCACACAATGTAATATCTATACCGAAGTGATTAACCCAGCATTTCTAATTGGAGGAAGAAGACACCAATGGTAAGTAAGTAAAATCTGATTCTTACTTTTTCGTAAGTGATTCTTAAAGCTTTAAGCACAGTTTCTCTGTTTAAATAATCCTTAGAAGTTTAGGCATTCCTTACATTTATTTGATAAAAACACCAAATTGCATTTCCAACATTTTATAGATTCCTTGTGCAATAAAACAGTAGTATCCAATGTAATCTAGCCTCCATTATCTGATTCTCCATATTTATTGAACCATCAGCTGCCTGGGTCTGGCTTCGAGAAGCCCAGCTACCCATTCTCTGATTTATCTGGCTCTGATCCCAATTATATATTGGGATTCAACTTTATATAAAAAAAGCACATAGCACTTACCATAGAACTTGGATTTGGCCAGAATACTACCACTAAGGCAAAACCCATCCTTTCGGTTGCTAACATAGAAGGCAGATACTGGGGGATGATGAGATACCTATAATGCAACAAAGTTGAATACAAACAGTGAAGTGTACAAAATTTCTTGTTCTAATAAGTGAGCTACAGAAAGCACGTGATTTAAAAGCCAAAGAAAACCATCTATAAGAAAGGCAGCTGTAATTTTCATAGAAGACATTTAAATATATGATCTGATCAAAGAAATTAAGTCAGAATCGTTACTGAATTCAAGGTGTTAGTAGAAAACTTCAAATCCCAGACTATTACAAAAATAAGTGTCTCAAATATTATGTTTAGGAAATATCTTGTATAACCACCTATGTCTGGTAAAAATCCAGAGTACCTTCAAAGACACCAGGTTTATCATCAGAACTTCTTGAAAAGTTTTCAAATACTTGGCAAGAACACACATTGTCCCTTGCAACCACCATTACCTTTTAATAATTAATCTCAGTAGCTGGAATACACGAATTGCCTCACTAGCTCTGTGAGTGTCCCAGTTCCCAGGTTGTCCACCTCAATGTGGACAAGAAGTACCATTGCTCGGATTTTCTGGCCTACCGACTGCAGTTATTTTACCGTCTCTTTTGCCAAGTTCCAGAACTATCTGCCTTTTTCTTTTTCAGAAATAAAAGGCAGTAGAGTTTACTCAGTAGTACTGTCTTACTACAGCCTTACTGTAAGACACATGGCCAAAAAACTATTTGAGTAGCAATTAGGAATATGTACTCACTTTCTCAATCTCAATTTTCCATAACAAATCAAAGGTACAAATTATACCACTTCTTCCATCTATCCCTTAATTCCCCTCTGTCTCTTTAGAAACCCTACTTATGGTTTGGCGTAAGACAGAGGATCAATGACAGTACTACATTCACAGACAAAAGCTTACTCTTGGTGAAGAATTGTTTTTCCTTCTCCGTGATACTGCTCTAGAACCCAAGACTAACACTGGCATCCTTGAGAAAATGACCTAAGAAGTACTATTTGAACAACATATGAACTGTCCCGCTATGTCCAAAATTAGCATCTGCTCATGATGTAGTGTCTGGATGCTCAGTAATTCATGTACCAGCCATTCCCCTAAGCAAACAGACATTCAAATAAAGATATCAAATCACTTCTTAAATACTGGTTCAGATTCAGTTCTAGGACTACTCATATATTAAGCACAAATGTTAAGTACCTTGCCAAACTGGGACCACTATAACTACACATAATTATGTTTTATCTGTTCGACAAATCAAAGCAAAAATTAACTAACAGCTGGCATATATTAAAAACTCAGGTTAATAGTAGGGCTGTCAATTGACATGTTACAGGCCACGATTAACGCAATCCAGGATTAAGGCATTAAATTATTTAACGCATTGATCGCAGGCATTAATGCTGTGCTGCCCCTTTGAAGTGCTGCTGCAGTGCTTCAGAGGGGCAGCACAACGCAGAGCCCAAGATCAGATGGGGGCTCTACTGCCGCCTCTGAAATGCACAGAGGCGACGTTTCAAAGGGCCAGCCGCCTCACAACTGAGCTAGGGATCAGCTGTGCGGCAGTTACCCCTTAGAAACGCCACCTCCGTATGTTCCAAAGGGGCAGTAGAGCCCAGGGTCATCTGTAGTTCCCAGCTGATCCCTGGTTCCGAGAAAGTGCCGCATGCAACCTGGGATCAGCTGTGCTGCCACTGCCCCTTTAAAATGCCGAACTCCAGCTGACTCTGGGCTTTGCGTGGCATTTCCCCAGAACCCGGGGTAAAGCTGGGGAGCCCCCAGCTGACCCTGGGCTCCATGGCAGCTGCCCCTTTGAAACACCGCCTCAGTGTTTTCAAAGGGGCAACACCATGGAGCCTGGGGTCAGTGGAGCCCAGGGTCAGCTGGGGGCTCTAGCTGATCCAGAGCTCCATTTTGCGCTGCCTCTTTGATGTGCCACAGAGGTGCTTCAAAGGGGCAGTGCTGCATGGAGCCTAGGGTCAGCTGGGAACTTCTAGCTGACCCCGGACTATGCCTTGCGCTACCCCTTGGAAACGCTGCCCTGGTGCTTCAAAGGGGCATTGCTACAGGGAGCCCTGGAGCAGCTGGGGCTCTAGCTGATCCCAGGCTCCAGGCAGTGCTGCCCCATTGAAACGCCGCGGCGGCGTTTCCATGGGGAGGTGCACGCAATTAATCGCACGATTAAATTTCTTAATCGCACGATTACATTTTTTAGTCACTTGACAGCCCTAGTTAATAGCAAAATCTCTTTTGCTAATACCTGTTCAGCTATGTAGAAAGTCTTGCTGTTTGTCCTGGGATGAATCCACATGCAGCGGAAAGTCTCACCCAGTATAGGATTGTATGGTTTCTTTAGTCCCTGAACAGAAACATTGGAGATTTCTATCAGACAATACAATCAAGAAAATGCAAAACAGTTTACAGAAAATGGTATTAGTACTATCAAATGGAAAGGGGGGAAAAGAAAAAGGAGAGGTCACTAGAATAGACACCAACTTTGAAGATAACTGCATGAATTCTGAGTAAGATTAAAAACAGGTACTCATCATTCCTTTGAGATCCTGTCTCATTCTGTGTACATTTATGATGGACTATATAGCAGTTGAACTATTGTGGGAGAACTGGTTTAAACACTCATCACTATCAGTCTGAAGTTAAGCAGAAGCATGCTGTGTGTCATTCAACACCTTACCCATTAGCATACTAGAAAGATGATGCGTTAGAAGCAAGTAAGGGGCCAACTATAAAATATTAGAAATTTTGCTATCTAATTGTAGTTGTAATGTTCTACTGAGATCAATGTTCCTCATTGAGAGCATGACTATCAAGAATATAACAACTACCCAATTTAGCTGAAAATGCATACCGCACAATTCATTGCCAAAACTGCATATTAATTGCAGTCCATTTCAAGCATGGCTTGAGCATGGCTTGAGTTCAAAGCATAGCAGCTTCATATTTGTATACATCACTTTTTAAATTAACTAAAAGTATTAAGGTTACTACTATTACCAGAAGACAACTAAGTTTATCTTTTAATAGCAGAGGAAGATGCAAAAATTTACCTTTGGCTTTTTGTAGAATCCTGACAAATACCATTTTACTACTTTCTTCATACGATTATAAGCATTCTCTTCAAGAGCAGCCCTATGAAACATGACAATTACTGGATTAAAGATAAAATTAAAACAAATCATAGTTCTCCTTCCAACGTTATCAGCATATTATTTACACTGATATGCATTATAGTATATTAACTATTGAGCAGGGAATGGTTCTTGTAATTAGTTTTTACCAGATTCACTGGTAAATGAAAGGACATAGCTAGAAACTACTCAGAATAAGGGTCAAGAACATCATTTGGCATGTAGTTGGCCAAGAAATTGCCCCCCCCCCCAAAAAAAAAAAAAAAAAAAAAAAAAAGTAATGCTTCTGAAAGATGACAGTATTACCAAAAACTACTTCTCAAGCATCTCACTGGAAACTTTTGCTACTGTAAAAGATACTGCTGCTAATCAGATCAGTGAGGTCTAAGGAGGAAATTAACAACAGAGTCCCAATAAGCTTCCAGATACAAGAAAATGCTTATTTTATGATCAAAAAGCGCAGTTTGATTCTTGAAATTCAACTAAATATTTTGTTTTCCTTTATTAGAGCGGAACAAAAGTATATACACTTAAATACTGTAGTTAGACGTGGATCCATGTGGTGTAATCCACCCTAGAATCTTTAGGGGGGGACGTAGGACCTTTTTTGCATTTATTATTAAATATTTGTCAAAACAAAAAGGAATAAGAAAATTTAATCTTGAGAACAGACTGGAAGATTGTTGGCTCTGTTTTCAGAGAATTGTCTTTTCCTTCACTTTAAAGCTTGTGAGGAAAAAAAGGTTGTGGGGAAAAAATTCTTTTGCAAAGCCAATTACCATATAGACTTGATCATAAGCTGATTTTGTTGGTAAAAAATGATGCAGTGAAGAGTGGGGGTCAGTTTACAAATGGGTCATTGTGTTTTATAAATTTTTTTTTAAAACTTGGTTGGTGGTGATGGGGAGGAGTCAGAAAACTTCAGTTCCCAGGACAGCAGGGCAAAGCGCTGGCATGCTAGAACATTTTATGTATTTGGAGCATTCTGTAGGCACGGAGGCCCTCAGCTCCCAGTGGCAGCTGTTTTCTGTTCTGGGTCAACAGGAATGGCAGGAAGTGGTGGCCAGCACATCCTTTGGCCCACACTGCTTCCCACAGCTCCCATTGGCTGAGGGATGCTAGCCAATAGCTGAGAGGCTCCATGCCTGCCGACACTTCAAGTACACAAACATCCTGGCACTCCAGTGGTTTACCCAGTTGGGCTGGGAACTGACCATCCTGAGGACTCTGTTGTATTTTAAAAGTTGGAGCCAGAAGAAACACACAAGTTTTAGTAGATTTATTTGAATGCACTCTAACAAAAAAGCCTACAATAATAACTGATTATATATTCACATACCTTCAAAATTACACTCCATGTTTTAATCTCATAGTTTAATGCACTAATTTAAAAAGTCTTAAATCCCTTCAAACTCTGAATCAGTCTCCAATCGGTTCATCAAATTCAGCTTCAGTAAGAGCTGCTCCTGCATTGTCATCGTGTATGTCAGCAATGCTGTCCTCAGACTCAGATTCCTTGTCAGCAGCAAAGATGGTGTCGTCTTTTGACACAAGCACATTGCTGATGCAGCATTTTCAAAATGATTTTTTGATCATCATTTCCAAGGGAATGGACTACCACACATCTAAGACCCAGTGGGCAACAAAATTGATTTTGGGCTTCTTAAGACTCCCACATTTTGTCACCTTTATCATGCCTGAGCACATCTAGTCAGACCACATTTTGCGTAGCTTGTCTTTAAAGGGTTTGTTCAGGCAGACATCAAGCAGATGTAGAACAGAAGGTAAGCCTCAAGGTATTACAGCCAAAATAGATTTAATTTTTTTGAAACCACATATTTCAAACCATATTTTTTTCAAGCCACATTGCCATATTTCACCCCATCCGTACTGTGTGCCCTGAACATGTTCCCAAACAAGCATAGGTTTCTTGAGAAGTGCTCCTGGTCTCTTATTCCACCCTTTTGCTAGTCATTCAATAGTCCGACTTTCATCCATCCATCCCTTTTCTTGTGTACACATGATGACACCCCAAGAAGTGTCATGGTTTTAGGCAAGGATTTTCTTTTGAAAACAACAACAACAGGATGGAACTTTGATCCATTGACCAAACATGACAAAACCACTGTAAAATGGATTTTTTCATGGCCAGTGGTTTTAATTAAAACTGTTTTCACCGGCACCAGTTATTGTTCCATTACTCGGGAGAGCAAATGTCAACAGTGTTTCATCCATACTTTTACGTCTCAATGTTCTACAATGAATCTTTGGAAAGATTTGATTTTCTCTTCCTGGTCTCTTGGCAGCTTCTGTGCTATTTTTGTTTGCTGCGAAAGGCAGAGACCAAGATGGTTCAAGAAGCAACCCACTAACGTGACAAACACCAATGTCTTCTGACTTGTATTTGTTGTCTTTTGACATTTACAGAGCATGCAGATGAATTCCCGTTCTAGTGACAAGGTACCCATTTTGTCACCATTCAACAATTCTATAGAGATCTTTTTCTAGCCTCGGAAATCAAGTGCACCTTGCTGGACTTTCTTTTTTCTTTGCTTCTTGGCATGCCTTTTAGTATTGCTTATTTTTTTGCCATTCTCTTACCTGCTTCTCAGTGATGTAGAATTAATAAGCAGCAGCAGCACAAATATGGTTTGCTTCTGCATATTCAACAACTGTAAGTTTAAATGCTGCATCAAAAGCAGATCATTTTCTTTATTTCACCATTGTTCATTTTAAAAACTAGCATGAAAATCTTAGAAAATAATTTATAGATTTTGTAGAACTTGAAAGGAATGTCACCTACTTTATCACTGTCAAATTATAATTATTCTTTGCTTATTTCAAAGAAGCACTACAGATTGTCATGCGAGGGGTCATGATAGGCTATTTTAATTTTAGTAAAGATTTTATTGATTCTTATTTTCAGTTTGCCTAGAGACTGAGGAGGTCCAGTGCTCGACATGCAAGAAGAGATCAAATTACACAGTAGCAGACTGACACCAGTGCCATAATACTATCACTCACTGTATTTTTCTGATTGTAAGAATCATAGAATACTACGACTAGAAGGGACCTCGAGAGGTCATTGAATCCAGTCCCCTGCCCTCATGGCAGGACCAAATACTGTCTAGACCATCCCTGATAGACATTTATCTAACCTACTCTTAAATATCTCCAGCATCACACTGCTGTCTCATAGCCCCTAGATCCCTTTCTGCAAAACTCCTTCCTAGACAGTCACTTCCCATTCTGTGTGTGTGAAACTGATTGTTCCTTCCTAAGTGGAGCACTTTGCATTTGTCTTTATTAAACTTCATCCTGTTTACCTCAGACCATTTCTCCAATTTGTTCAGATCATTTTGAATTATGACCCTATCCTCCAGAGCAGTCGCAACCCCTCCCAGCTTGGTATCATCTGCAAACTTCATAAGCGTACTTTCTATGCCAATATCTAAATCGTTGATGAAGATATTGAACAGAGCCGGTCCCAAAACAGACCCCTGCGAAACCCCACTTGTTATACCTTTCCAGCAGGATTGTGAACCATTAATAACTACTCTCTGAGTAGGGTTATCCAGCCAGTTATGCACCCTCCTTATAGTAGCCCCATCTAAGTTGTATTTGCCTAGTTTGTTGATAAGAATATCATGCGAGACCATATCAAACGCCTTACTAAAGTCTAGGTATACTAACATCCACTGCTTCTCCCTTATCCACAAGGCTCGTTATTCTATCAAAGAAAGCTATCAGATTGGTTTGACATGATTTGTTCTTTACAAATCCATGCTGGCTGTTCCCTATCACCTTGCCACCTTCCAAGTGTTTACAGATGATTTCCTTAATTTCTTGCTCCATTATCTTCCCTAGCACAGAAGTTAAACTAACTGGTCTGTAGTTTCCTGGGTTGTTCTTGGTTCCCTTTTTATAGATGAGCACTATATTTACCCTTTTCCAGTCTTCTGGAATCTCTCCTGTCTCCCATGATTTTCCAAAGATCATAGCTAGAGGCTCAGATGCCTCCTCTATCCGCTCCTTGATGGTCTAGCATTTTATGAAGTGGAAGGGTCAAATTTCATGCAAATTAAATTAAAAAAAATAACACTTTTTTTAAAGAAGCGAGTTCTGAACTAAATTTCATTATCTACAACAGGGGTCAGCAAACTTCAGCTCCTAGCCTGTTAGGGTAAGCCACTGGCACACTGGGAGGTTTGTTTGCTTGCTTGCTTGCAGAGTCTGCAGACACAGAGCCCCTAAGCTCCCATTAGCTGGTGTTTGCTGTTCCCAGCCAATAGGGAACTGCAGGAAGCACCATGGCCCAAGGAACATACTAGCTGCCATTTCCCACCTCTCCTGTTGGCCAGAAATGGCAAATCAGACACAGAGATGCAGAATTCCATGCCTGTAGATAGAAACTCCAGGTAAACAAAATGTCCCGATGTGCCAATAGCTTACACTGACAACCTGAGACCAAAAGTTTGCAAACTGCAGATTTTGAGTAAGTGTATGAATGGGTCACTGTAATTTTAACATTTTTTTTTAACTGGGGGGGAAGGGGAGGGAGTTGGCTTATGAATGAACAGGCTTATGATTGAGTATATACAGTATGTCCAATTCTGGCTAGCCTAACCACTGCGAAGATATAAAATACTTGGGTCCTTGCACAGCAACTCTTAACCCTACAGTTCTCCAATCTGGAAAGACACTGATTTAGAAATTCATAGGACTGAAAGTTGAAGTGAAACATTCAGTTTTAAGTCTTTATTCCTTTTGGTTCTCACATAAATCAAGTGAATTAATTTAGGCCCTCATGCAACTAAAAAACCACTTTAATTGGACTATTTAAAATGGTCCTGCTTCGTAGATAATTAGAAAAATCTAATTTCCTTTGCTTTCACCAACTGACTCTAACTGCTGTTTTCCTATGCTTTAAGAAGTTTCCAAAAGATTCCTATGGTCTGTCAAGTGATTATCAATTTCTTACCAGGAAACTTTGCCTTTGAGAAAGATATACTTTATGAACTTTAGGAAGTAATATACCAATGAAACCCCACAATATGGTGCTTAATATATTGTTAGACGAGTGTTTAACATCAGCTTAACAGGATAGACAGAAAACCTTGCAAAGCCATTTCACTATTTAATAACATTTATTTTTAAAGTAAAAAGAACTAACTCACTCAGACAAGAAGTCTGCATGATAGTAGTAATCAGACAGTTTGTCCAGGAAAGAGCGAGGTTCCAAGATAAATGTAGGCAGTACAACCTTGGAGAGGTCCATTCCTGGACGAACTTGTTTCAATAGCATCCAGATCAGGCTTTTGTTCTCTTCTGACACGGTTTCTGTTTGAGAGGCCTCTCCTGCCTGCCACCAAGAAAAGAGTGTTGTTGAAAAAGTAGAAACACAGAAACAGTTTAATGTGTCCTATTAAAAAAACTACACACATTTAGGACAAGCAATAAGTTAGGTTTAGAATACACTATACCTAACCAACTACTTTAAGAGTATGGGAACTAGGCCCATTAGAGGCATTCTGAGAAGTTTAACATATGCTACCGGATTAACATAGCATATCAGATACACTATCTAGAATGGGTTTTTTTAAAATTGGGTTTGCACCAATAAGTATATTACATTTTATATTAAGAGAGCCTTATAGGGTAGACCGATGGTCAGAAGCCTGTTCCTTTCCTAGACATTAGCTTTGTGTTTCCCTTTTCTCTCACATGCAGTGCATATGCCAACCAGCGGACACTGGTTACATTATTTTTTTTATTTTGAATGTGGCAGAAGAATCTGCCCATTTCACCCCCGTTTCCACCCTTGCTTTGTCCAGAACTCTTCCATATTCCTCCCTCTCTCTAGCAGCAGCAGGATGATGCTCTCTATGCATCTCCAGATGACACTCTGCTCGACTTAGAGAAGAAAAGGGAGATATTGCACCTTTCAAGAGAGCTTCAGGAAACAAAAGCAGGATTATGGAAGAAGTAGTCACCTTATTTGCAATAAAAAAAACTGATTGGTTTTGTCTAATAAAGCTGAAATACCTATGGAGCAGAAATTAGTATCAGCAGCAGTAGGTAGGTAGGCTAGAAATTAGCATCCTCTGACATTTTTCATTCTGTACAGCTGCTGCTAAAAAAAGTCTCTAGCAGTGAACAACCACCAGAGGAAGGCTCAAATAAGTCAAATCAGTTTCAGAGTGTTACCATTTCAAATAGCACTGGTGATTTTTTATGGGAACAACTGCTTTTTCATACAAATGTTCAAGATTTCAAAGGCAATGGAGCTCTACCATACAAAAACCTATGTCAGAATCATTATAAAGACCAACAAATTTGTTAAGTAAGAGAAGGCAACAAAATCAACATCCGAGTCCTGAAAATATTATGGCTGCTGGCCTCTCTTTAAGGAGAAATTAGAATACAAAGAAGCCTCTTAACTTCATTTAATAATAAAGTTTCTCACCCTTTTCCCTTGAGAAGAGAGTCTTAAAATTAAGCAAACATAAATCAATCACTAATGGTGAAAGGACAAGCAACTAGACTCAATTTGTGCTGCAGGAAGCACTTTCTGGTGTAAAACAAGTTCATTAAATTTGAGGAACATCCCAAAGAAAGAACTCAGTAGCAAAGTACGTGGCTCAGGCACATAATTAGTGGTGATCGTGTTATACGAGGGCATGACGGGAAGCAATTACACTTTCACAAGTCACCCTGAAGTACTAAATCCAACAATACAAGGACACTTTCCAATGACATTTAATTTGACCTCTAAAATGCTTAAGTTAGTTTGCTATCTGGAAATAAAGTAAATGCTACTAAGAGTACACTGTTTACCTCTCCAAGTTCTTCGTGAACCTGTTCCATATAGGTAGTTTCCCTGATAAAATCAACAGGTTCTTGGTCAATATAAGAGTCATCCTGTCGCTCTGATGTGTCGGTGTCACTTTCTTCACTTTTCCCCAGGCCATCATTATCAGACTCGTCATGGTCATGATCATTTTCCTTATCAGATTTGTCAGAGTATACATCTTGATCTTTAAAGTGATGCCTTTCAATTTCACTATAATTTAATCTACAACAAACAAAAATGAAACTAAAATGTTGAGATTGTCTATCTACTTCAAGTTGTGCACCACTATAAATAACATCCTCAGATCAGAAAATGACCGAATGCAGGACATCTGTCAATACCAATACCGGAAAGCTTTGTCAAATTGATAGCACTGCAGTAAGAAAGAATCACTATCATCAGTCTTCTTTGAAACATGGACATCTTTTTAGTTTGCTTTTTGTTTTGAACTATGAAGTTCGTTACTAACCCTTCCACAATTTTATCCTCATACAGGTTTTACCTCAACGCTTACTATTTTGTGTGTAAACAAAAAATAGGCACATAGGATTGATTGTCTAACAGTGGCCTAGCTAGTTTTGGTTGGTTTATAAAATGGTTTATATTTGTAAGACAAATACATGTATGTACACAAAGGACTGGGCCATGAACTGGGATTTGAGGCAAGAGGTCTCATCCTTCTCCCAGTTTCCTCCTTGTCTCACATGGGCAAAATTCTAACATCCTGCTACAGGGGTGCACATATGTGTCATGTTATAGGATTCTAAGGATCACTGTTGCACCCATGGGGGGGTGGTGTTTGCCCCAAAAGTCTGTACAAAGGGGGCCATGTGAGGTGTCACATGAAAGCATCTGTTCTACTGAATCTGTATATTCTATTCATGTACTTGTATGATGTCTATATGGGGAGTTATAAACATGCACTCTATGGACGCTGGAAGGTTCTCTGTCTGAGTCAGAGCAATGGTCAAAGAATGTTCAGCCAGTGGCTATGCTAATTAGTGAGGCTTCACAGACAATAGATCTCTAAGTGCCTGAGAGACACCTGAAGAATGTCTGGATATCTGCAAGGAAGCCAGGATAATGGTTGCTGACTTGGGACACAAGGATAGGTCAATGGACCATGTGACCTGAAGTAACCTGCTCTGGCCAGGAAGATGCCAAGAGAGGTATACAAGTGCCATGTGGCCCCCTCCATCTTAGTCTTCTTTAGCTCCTGATCCCAGATGCAGCCTTGCAGGAAACAACGAGCTGGAAAGAACTGTGGACCCGTCCTGACATAGGATGTACATCAGAGACTTTTAAGATAGCAGTTTATAATGTCCCTGCTAACAGCCTGTATCGAGAACTGGGTGATTCGATGCATGGAATATATTGTCTAATAACCTTACTCTCATGCTTTTCTTCCTTTTAGTAATAAACCTTTAGATTGTAGATTCTAAAGGATTGGTTCAGCATGATCTTGTGGGTAAGATCCAGAGTGTAAATTGACTTGGGAACTGTGGCTGCTTTCTTGGGACCAGAAGAACCCGTTTGGGATAGGTGAGATTGCGTTCTATAACCCTCACCTGCGTGTTAGGCCCGGGACTAATTGGGACACAGGGAGAGCTGGAGTGTCTGAGGGGTTTTGCTCGAGGCTTCTGGCTGGCCAGATCGGTGGCTGAAGCGCTCAGTGGGACTGGTTTGTGGCCTATTTGGAAAGGTCTCCAGTCTGGGGCTGTAAGGAGCCCCAAGTTTGAGCAATTCGCCCTGAGCGGACCCCTCAGCTGTTCCCAGACCCGGCCTGGTCCATCACAATATGATAGCCTTTTTCTCATGTTAGAGCTCTGATTCATGTGGAAGAAAAGAAAAAATTATAGGAATAAAAGATAGGAACATCATACAATCTATTATTTCCATAGATACCATTACAATGTGCCACTTGTGGAGTTGGGAAGACTGGAGTATAGTGAGAAGCTTACAATTCAGGATCAATTGCAGGTCTTTAGCCCCTTGGTTCCCATAGTCTGCTTAGTCCCCGGACCAGTTTGTCCATGTTAAATATTTAAAAATTCTAAAACCTGAAGGATATGCCCAGATAAAAATCTTTGCTAAGCCAGAGCAGGGTTAAAAGCACATCAGTATTTTAAAGGTTAAAAACCTATACTGTAGTTAAGAAACAAATAAAGCAATACAGGATTTAGGTTACACTTAAAGAAATTCAAAACACTGGGAGATATGGAAATACCCAAGGGCAAAAAATCCGACACAAGCACATGATTGTAAACAAATCCTACCAAAAAATAAAAGCATCAGGTGAAGATTCTCTGAACAAAAGTGCCAGATACAGCTCATTTACTTAACATTTACTCGTTCTGCTGTAAATAGGAATGCAACCATCACATAAGGGAAGAAGTCATAAAGATGAGATTTTTCTCCTCTATCTGCAAGTAGGAGTTCTAAGCAAAATTTGGATTAGTATGTACCATGTGGACTTGGAGAAAAAGGGGGCATTTGAGTACATTCCTAAACTGGGACTCTTGGATCCCGCAACATCCGGGATCAGGCAGGACCATGGATGTTCCTGGATGACAGTACCCCAGGGCAGGAAGGCCAGGAGCTGGGAGGCTGGTAAGGCTAGGATCCTGTCTGGGGCTGTGTGCCACCTGGCAGCGGAGCCAGAGCCGTGACCGTGGCAGTCTGAGTAGCAATGAGGCTGGAGCCATGACAGCCTGACAGAGGCCAAGTGTCACCTGGGCAGCAGCAAAGCCAAGACCGTGGCAGCCCACCAGGACAGCCTGGTCAGAGCAGGACCATGACTGGGGACAGCCAGCAGGCAGCAGCTCACCCAGGGTGGAATGAGCCACCAGCACGGAGGGCGGCAGGCTGAAGAGATGTAGCAGGGGACCTCCCCTGGTACAGCAATTCCCTCTTTCAGGACCGATCAGGTTCCAAGGCTGCCAGACAAGGGAAGTCCAACCTGCATACCTTTACATTCAAGTCAAAACAAATATCTTTCAGTTATCACCGCTTCCTCTCACTGTGCCAGGGCACACCAGCATCCACTCTGCTAGACAGGATAACACCAATCACTGAAGATTATTTGGAAACCAAACTCAAATTTGAGACAGGATTTGGTCATCAATATCCTTCTATTTTGGGTGTGATGTCCCAGTATTCATTGTGCTACTGACATCAGACTGAGCAGGAGCTAATAGTAACAGGAGAGGTCTGATCTGAAAAAGGTCCTGAGAGGGAGAAATGTGCTTCAATGAGTCTTCAATGTGCTTTACTTTGGATCAGCAGGTAGCATTAAAACTGAACTGCTCTAGAACGGAAACAAATATTTAAAAATAGAAATGTCTGTCAAATGACATTACACACCCCTGTAAAGTCTAGTAGGATACCTATAAAAGGGATCATTTGTGAATGCCAGAAGATCTATTTTAAGGCATGAAGAAAGAACCCTAGATCTGAAAAGAGATTAGTCACAAAGACTACATGGTTTAACACAGCGTTTCTCAATTTTTTTTTTTAATAAACTACCCCTTTGGAAAAAAAAATTATAAGTACCCACAGTACCTACAGTTTTCAGAGACAATTTTTTTCTACCATTGCAACACATTTGTTTAAACAACTTAATCGTAGCCGGGCAGGCAATGAAATTTTGGGGTGTAAAAAGTACAAAAATAATAAAGTGCTGTAAAACTTAAAACAAAAATTCATTTTTCTCC